GGCCGCAGGGCCCGACTGGCCGTCCCCAGAGCCACGGCCTCGCCTGCCAGGCCTTTGTTGCAGCCTGGAGGGGAGGGGGGTCCACGAGCATCCCCATGGTCACGGGGAGGGCGTGCTGAGTGCCCCCTGCGCCAGAGCCAGTGCCACCGGTGGCCAAGGCCCAGGGCTGGGCTTGGCCCTTTCCTGCGGGGAGGTGCGCAGGCCTGGGGGGTCCACACTGGCATGATGGGGCGCCGGAGCCGCTCGGGACTTGCCCCGCAGTTCTCAGAACTGGGGGGCTTTTGCAGAGGAAGCAGCATGTGCATGCGTGCGCCTGTGCGCCTGCAAAGACGCTTTCCCTGCCGGCCCCCACCTGCCCCTGCCCCGAGCTGCTTGCTCTGGGAGCGAAGCGGGGTGCCCCAGTCTGGGTGTCGGAGAGACCGGGCGCTGGCAGGGTAATGATCTCACAAGCTCGCTGCCCTCCAGCCGCCCCTGGCGCTGGTATCATGCACCCAGGACCTAGCCCCTGTGCCCGCTCGGGCCCCCAGCCCTCGCCACGCACAGCAGTGCCAGGACAATGCCCTTGACCTCGCTCCCTGCAGAGATGGACCGGAGCAGTTGTGGGGCCGGGGGGCGGGGGCCGCGCTCACAATAAGCCGTGACTCATGCCAGGAACAATTGAGGTGATGCAGGAAACCAGGGGTCACTTTTTCCGCGGCTCGGGTTTCCAGCTGGGCTGCGGGGCGCTGGCCGCTGGCCGCCGCAGAGGGGCAGGGGACGTGCCCTGGGCAGGCCAGGCCAGGCCAGGTTGGCATGTCCTGCTCCGAGGCCTTCCTGGGGGAGGCCTGGCCTGGCACTGCCCCAGCCTCTCCCAGGGCTGTGCAGGGAGTCGGTGGCAGAGCTGGGATTCGAGCCCGAGCCTGGCACCTCAGCTCTGCGTGGCGGGCAGCACTGGGGGTGGCGGGGCCTGCTGGACAGGACTCCTGGGTCCCCTTCCCAGCTCCCCTCTGTGCCAGGGGGTGCCGTGGCTCAGGGGGCCTGCCATGGGTGAGGAGAGGGGGGTCAGCTCTGCCCAGCGGCCCCCAGCTCCCTCGGCTCATCCCCACCGCCCCAGCAGGGGTGCAAGGCGGGCCGGGCCTGAGGCTGCTCACGGCCATGCCACACGTGTGTTGCAGACGGGGCGCGTGGATAAGAACTTCCCGCTGGTGACCGGGCACACGGCGCCTGTCCTGGACATCGACTGGTGCCCGCACAATGACAACGTCATCGCCAGTGCCTCCGAGGACACCACCGTCATGGTAGGGGCCGAGGAGCCAGGCAGGTCCGGGCGGCCTGCGAGCAGGGACTGGGGAGGGGCGAGGGGGCGGCCACGTGGCCCGGCCCTTCCCCTTTGAAATGCTGGAAGTGTCATGGGCTATTTTTAGTGGCGGTGCCATGTGCTCGCTGGCGCCTGCCGCCCTGGCCATGATGCAGCACTTTGTGCTAAATATACCTCGGGGGCGCGGGCACCTAAAAATAGCCGCGGGGGGGCAGGGGCCTCTGGGACCAGGGAGGCAGGAGCTGGGGGTGTCTGGGCTGGCCCCCCATGCCACTTAGAGACCCCCTAGACCCGCCACTCACCCCCTTCCCTGCTGGTGCCCCAAGGCCACCCCCTGCTTGCCCCCTTCCAGCCGGCCCTGCCACAGGGGTCTCAGCCCCAGCCCCCTGGGGCACTGGCTCCCCGGGCGGGCGCACGGGCATGGGCCGGGGCCTTAACCGGGGGGCTCAGTGGCTCTCTGCAGCTCGCAGGGCCCCGTCTTGGAGCCGCCCACCCCCCACGGCTCCTGGTGCCGGCGAGGTCTCACCGTCCGCCCCGCACCCCAGGTCTGGCAGATCCCCGACTATGTGCCCATGCGCAACATGACGGAGCCTGTGGTCACGCTTGAGGGGCACTCCAAGCGCGTGGGCATCCTCACGTGGCACCCCACCGCCCGCAACGTGCTGCTCAGCGCAGGTAAGGCCCCGTGGCATGCCACGGCCGGGGGGGGGCGGGTGTCTCCAGGGCATGGGCCCGCCCCAGCCTCCCGGCAAAGCCACCCCGGCGTGCCGTCCCCGGCCCAGGTGGTGACAACCTGGTGATCCTGTGGAACGTGGGCACGGGCGAGATGCTGCTGCGGCTGGACGAGGTGCACACGGACCTCATCTACAACGCCTGCTGGAACCGCAATGGCAGCCTGCTCGTCACCACCTGCAAGGACAAGCACGTGCGCGTCATCGACCCCCGCAAGCAGCAGGTCGTGGCGGTGAGTCCTGAGCACGCGCGTGGCTTTCTGCAGCTGCCCCCCTCTCCCTGGACACCCCCGGAGCTGCTGCCCCCGGGCTCTGTCTGTGCCCAGCTGCCCTCTCAGAGCAAGTGTCACCCCAGGGACCTGGGAAGATGCCCACTGGTGAGGCTGATGCCTTGGGTCACCGTGGCCGTGACACACCAAGGCCCGGCACAGGCGTGGCCCCCGTGGAGACTGGACCAGCCCATGGCTCCACTCCTCCTGCCCCCCACCCATGCATCCGTGGTGCTGGGGTCTTCGCTCCCATCCATGCCCACCGGTACCGGCCCATCCTCAGCCCTGCATGCCTGCTCTGGCACCCACCGCCGCCCCGGCCTGGCCTTTGAGCACAAGCCCCGCGGCCTGGACCAGCCCGGCCGTGCCTGAGCATGGAGACATAGTCCTCACTCCAAGGGGCACGACGGGGATCCCCGGGCGTGGGTGCAGCTGACCTCTCACTAACCACTGCCCACGTGTCTGTCTGGCTCGACCCCACTAACCGCCGGCGCCAGGAGAAATCCAAGCCGCACCAAGGCGCCCGCCCCGTCCGCGCCATCTTCATGGCCGATGGCAAGATCTTCACCACCGGCTTCAGCAAGATGAGCGAGCGGCAGCTGGCGCTCTGGGACCTGGTACGGCGCGGCGCTGCCCGGCTCGGGACGCTGCCGCGTGCCGCGGGGCCCGGACGCCTGGGGCCTACGAGAGCAGGGAGCGCCCACGGGTACACGGGAGCGTTGCAGACTCAGGGCCCATCCGTGCACCGTGTGCTGGGCACCCGTGCTAACCCTCTCCCCCCCCCTCCCAGGAGAGGTTTGCGCCCCACGAAGGGATGCGGCCCCTGCGGGCTATCTTCACGCGGGAAGGCTACATCTTTACCACGGGCTTTACCCGGATGAGCCAGCGGGAGCTGGGCTTGTGGGACCCGGTAACGCTGCCGCGCGGGAGGGCTTGGCCTGGGAACTTGGGCATTGCGGCTTCCCCCGCCCAGCACCGGCGGCGGTGCCCGCGGTCTGCCCGTGCCGCTCTGGCCCCTCCTGGTAGGGCCACCGAGGGCCGGCTCTGCCATCTTCTCACCCTCCCATTGGGCTGGCGCCAGCAGGTCCCAGCTTCCCGAAGCTGAGGGCTCCCTGAGCCCGGGCCCGTGGCCAGGGCAGGAGGTGGGTTTCAGGCCCACACGGCCCAGGTTGTGGCCACAGCTGGGCAAGGCCCCCGCAAGCGATGCGAAGTTCCCAGGGCTCGTGTGCTGTGTGTGTGGCCAGGGCGGGGGCAGCGGGTGCATGCGGGGAGTGCTGTGACGCCGGGGTCAGCTG